ATATGCTATGAAGCGTGATTTAACACTGATGGCAGATGAGGTGAGCAAAGATTCTGTTGGTGGACACATGCCGGAGAACATGGCCTTGTTATCTTAAGTCTGAAACTGCTGTTGCCAGCTACAGTGCCTTACCACGCAGTTCAGAGTCACCACTTGTGCAGAAACAGATGGGTAGCCAGCCTGCCTTCTGGCAGGAACAAAAGCTTTATTAAAAAATCAAAACAAATGCTTTACTACATTTGCCTTTATGACAGCCCAAATACAGGTAGTCCTCAACTTACAACAGTTCGTTTAGTGACCATTCAAATTTACAACAGCACTGAAAAAAGTGACTTATGACCATTTTTCACAGTTACGACCTTTGCAGCATCCCCATGATGAAGTGATCAAAATTCAGATGCTTGGCACCTGGTTTATGTTTATTACCATTGCTGTGCCCCACAGTCATGTGATCATCTTTTGCAACCTTCTGATTAGCAAAGTCAATGGGGAAGCCAGATTCACTTAACAAGCGGGGTTACTAATTTATCACGTACAGTGATTCACTTAACTCAGGCAATATTTAATATATTCTGGAAATGCCTTGTTGGTTTATCAAAATGGATAAAGACACTCTTGAATTGATTTTGATTCCTGTTGACTAAAGGGAAAAAAATCATGCAGATTGTTTGCTAATAATAGTGCAGGTTGTTCTTGACTTGTGACCACAATTGAGTCCAAAATTTATGTTGTTAAAACAATACAGTTGCTAAATTGGGTTTTGCCCTATTTTATGACTTTTCTTGCCAGAGTTGTTCAGTGAATCACTACAGTTGTTAAGTTAGTAACACACGACACACTTTTTTTTTTTATTGCAAAAGTTTTACAATTACATTTTCACCCCTTTTTTTTCACCCCCCCACCTCCCTCCCCAAACTTCCCGTCCTCCCTAACCCTCCCTAACCCTCCCCCCCCCAGACTTCCCTATTATGTACTCATAACTAATAACACTGATATATAACACGACACACTTGTTAAGTGAATTTGGCTTCCCTATTCACTTTGCTTGTCAGAAGGTTGCAAAAGGTGATCACATCACGCCAGGACCCTGCAACTGTCATGAGTCAGTTGTCAAGCGTCCGAATTTTGATCACATGACCATGGGGATGCTGCAGCGGTCGTAAGTGTGAAAACATTCATAGGGCACTTCTTTCAGTGCCATTCTAACTTTGAACAATCACTAAACAAATAGCTCTAAGTCGAGGACTACTTTGTAGTGGAATCTTTTTTTCAACTTTGCTGTATAGCTTAGAAAGCCTTGGGATTTCTTAAACATGTACTAACCAAGACCAAGCTTGCTTTTCTTTTCTTAATACCAGGCAGAGTCAGTCTTGACTTTGAACCTAAAACAACAAAGAGACATGTGGCACCTTGAAGGCTAACAAAACTATTGTGGCATAAACATTTGTGGTCTACAGTAATTAAACAAGCAGAATAATACACAGAATTTCATCTTAGTTTTTGATTCTATGCTGTTAGAATGGGGGAGGGGGGAACTCCTGTTTTCTTTTGTCTCTCTTAATTTGTCTAAGGCCAAATGATTGACTTCAGACCAGCACATCAGTGCATTTGTCATGAAATTCTTTAGAATCCTATCTGGCTATAGAATTGTGAACAGGAAGAAAAAACATTGAAATCAGCCCCCATGGCTGCTTAGATTTTGGCATTGTTTATCCTGTAGTATACCATAACAGGATTACCCTTGGAGGCAACATGGGATTAACAGTGTGGATGTATTTTTTGTTGCTAATTCCATGTGTCTAAGAACTGTGTAATCATACCTCTCTAATGCCATCCTTGGATAGAATACTGTACTCAAAATAAGCATCTCTTCTTCACAGCTGCGGAGGCAGGTGGAATTCAAAGAGAGGGGAAAGCATTCTGTGCTGGGCTCCATTGAGAACAAGGGCAGTGATCACAAAGTTAACCATGTGGGTGACTGTTGCCGGGATGACAGATGCCCAGGGACCCTTGTGGGCACCGGACCTGGAGCTGAAGACAGTGGGGACAGCAAGGACGTCAGTGAGGTCAGTGAGGCTACAGAGAGCACAGATGTCAAGGACAGCTCAGAGGCCTCCGACTCTGCCTCCTAGCAAGGTCTTTGACTTTCCAGCGATTGGACTTGTGTTGTCCTTGAACAGGGGTTGGACCGCTACGGATGGATTGGAAATAAAATTTTTGGAACCAGGTGTCTGTGTTGTGGCTTGTGGGGAAGAAGTCGCCTTGAAAGCTGTGGGTGTGTATATGTGTCTTGGCTCATTCCCTCTCCCCTTCTAGTTAATTGAGCCTTCTAATCAAGGGTTGCCACCTTTTATAGAAGTTATTGCCATTTATCACCAGTCTCTTTTCATGGCGGGAGGCTGGCAAACAAATGTAATAAATTTAAAAATTCTTGCAGAAGTGAGTGAAAAAGAACTTGTGCAAATTCTTCTGCTGTCTTAGTGTCTGCACCTTTCACCAGTGGAAAAGCTTTCAGCAGGGGCCAGTGCTTACTGTAAGGGGGGTGGGGTGAGTGAGAGGTCAGCTTTGTATACATCCCACAGATGGAATTCAAAAGTAGTATAGCTGGGTCAAAGGGTAAATCTCTAAAACTTGTTCACTTGAAAACTTACTCCAGGTAATCCTCAATTTACGACCACAATTGAACCCCAAATTTCTGTCGCTAAGTGAAATATTTTTAAGTGAATTTTGCTCCATTTTATGACCTTTCTTGCCACAGTTGTTAAGTGAATTCCTGCAGCTATTAAATTAGTAACATCTAATGTTACATTAGTAATCTGGCTTCCCCATTGACTTTGCTTATCAGAAGATCGCAAAAGGGGATCACATCACCCTACGATACTGCAGCCATCATAAATATGAGCCAGTTGCCAAACATCTACATTTTGATCACATGATCTTGGCGATGCTGCAGTGGTCATAAGTGTGAAAAGTGATCATAAGTCACTGTTTTCAGTGCTGTTGTAACTCTGAACGGTCACTAAATGAACTGTTGTAAGTCGAGGACTATCTCTATAAGCAATAAATGAAATAGAACCTTTGTAAACTTAAATGTGTTTCTTGACACAAAAGAGGGCTTTTGTTTAAATCGGGCCAAGAATAATTGGACACACAAAATAGGGAAGTACTCACGTGGAATGTTCTGCTTGCATTAATTTTGGGAGAGGAAATCAATGTGACTTCCCCATTCATCAGTCACCAAAACATGCATTCAGTTTAAAAGAAAAGAACTTAGAACCAGAAAATATAAATGTGCCATTTTTTCTAAATAAAATAGCTAGAGCAAACTTTAGTGCTATCAAACTGGAGATGGAGTTGGGCCAGTCACATACTATTCAGCACATGATGAGGGTACACCTTGTGTTGCATTCTCACTACATACCTGCCCGCCACTTGAGCAAATGGAGCACACACTTGCCCACTGTTCACATAAGTGGGTATGCATGCGCGCTCGCCCACCACTGGGGTTTGGTTCTGAACAGCTGAAGGCCCAGAGGTGGTCCAGGGATTGGGGACCCCTGCTCTAGGATTTGTCCAGGCAGTCTCCAGGAGTAAGGACTGACAAAGGCACCACCACCAAAAAGAACGAAAAAATCCCTCCCCCCTTCAAAGCAGAGGGGGCTAGACAGGTTTTCTAGATATCTATTCAAAATCTGTGGATAGGAATACATGCTTGAGAAGGACCTTGGAGATTAGCCTTGTCTTTGAAAAAAGGATACAAAGATTTGGAAAAAAGGAACAATGTTAAACAGTAATTTGGAAAAGCAGTGATGTCATGAGTAAAATGGAGGAGAAAGTAGCTGAAATTGAATCCATTCAAAACTCAAATTCAATCGTTGCAATAGATAGAGGTAAGGCAGCACATAAAACATTTGTACCTTCTCACAACTCCAAATAATGTATAGCTCATGGAAGCCCAGAGGCTTCAGGAAAGGTATGGAACAGATTCTGCCTATTGGATGTCCTCAATTCTATGAAATGGAAAAAAGGGTGGAAAGCTAGGTATTGTATGCTGTTTTAAGGCTTAAGCTACTTGTAGGCGAACAAAGATGGCCTGTGAAGAAAAGTTGATTGATAGCTGGTATAATCTCTTCTGGAGATTTGAACAAATTCTTTTTGATATGTTGAAATCCTTTATACATGGAAGTTTTTCAGTTACCTACAGAATTCAGTGGTACTTATTCAACTGTATTCCAACTCTTCCCACAGAATCTTGTCCTGATTATCATTTAAAAATGCTAATTTGCAAATATTCTTATTTTCAGTGATACATCTCCACATGAAATGTAAGGGTACATTTGCTATTCAACTATTTTATAAATAATTCCAGGTTTTCTTAAAAAGGCTGTTGCTTAACGCATTGTAAGCCGCCCTGAGTCTCCGGAAAAGGGCGGCATATAAATTGAACCAATAAATAAATATATAAAAGAGGTAGATGTTTGCAGATGAAACTAGTGTGATTTCATCTGCATGGACTTTGCTTTGGACCACTCCACACCTGGAAATCTAGTAATAATCGCTGCCTAAATTCCAGTTCAAGAGATCTATTTATTCTATATTCCTAACAGTGAAAACTCAGGAGGACAGAAGAGTCCCGGATCTTGCATGGAGCACCCTTGCTATGCATGGGGATTCTTCAGAATTGATAAAAGAAATGTCCCTTCTGATGTTAAGCAACAACATAACCCATAAACAATCCAACGTTGCTTAGTTACGCCTCTGCCTCAGATATGCAGGGTGCGCTTCGGTTTTGCACCTTCGAGGCAAAATGGTGGATCAGAAATAACCGAGAGAGGGAAAAATTAAAACAGCGAGATTCTCCTCCCAGTGTGGTCACATTAAAGGTTGGCTTGACGCGCCCTCTTTTGACCAATAATGTAAAACGGCCGGAAAGGCTACCGAACGGTAGCTCAGCGTTCCACGGGTTCTTCCTTCTCAATATCTGATTGGCTGCAGGGGGAATTCGTTCTTAAGGTCTATCGGCAGCAGGTTTGCTAGGGATCTTTTCTCCCCCCCTCTCTGGCGCGGGTGGAGGTGGATCTTAAAACAAGGCTGCCACTTCAAGGTTTACGGCCCAGGGCGCTACAGCCGGGAGAGATGAGTGAACTTCGGCCTCTGACTAAGGCTGAAGCGCAGAGCCTCGGGCCACCCGACTGGAAGCACGCTTGTCATGCCCTTTTATACGCGCCCAACCCCGGCCGGCTTTTTGGCAAGATCCCGTTGCGTTTCGCAGTGTTGGTGAGGATTGATTTTAGCCAACGTTGGGGGTGGGGGTGGGGACCTCCTGAGTAGGGAAAGAAAAGGGGGAGAGCATATTAGGTTTAAAACGTTAGGAATTGCCTACTTGCTTCTAATGGATTACTTGTTCCAGTATTTGTTACCAGTACTTGGTAAACTAGTGATAAAATCTGTTCCAGGTATGTGAATGCTCAGAAGACGGCTATTTGATCTGAATAAGTGGTGAGAAAATATAGAAAATCTGGAATGGGATGGACCTTTTTTACTAGTGTGTGTCATACACCTTGCATTGACTGTTGTGTTGCTAACAGATCTGGGCTGCAGGAATCCGAATGATTAGGAGATGGCAGCAACCAGTCGAGATTTTCTACATTTGTTTGTTTCCATCTAGTGGTTGTTTTGATTTTTGTAACTGTAGTACAGGTAGTCCTCGACTAACGACCACAACTGAACCCAAAATTTTTGTTGCTAAGTCAGTCATTTGTTAACTGAGTTTTGCCCAATTTTACGACTTTTCTTGCCACAGTTGTTAAGTGAATCACTGCAGGTATTAAATTAGTAACAGGGTTGTTAAGTGAATCTGGTTTCCCCATTGATTTTGCTTGCCAGAAGGTTGCAAAAGGGGATCACATGACCCTGGAACACTGCAATGGTCATAAATATGAACCAGTTGTCAAGCATCACATGAACCCATTGTCACATGAATTTTGATCATGTGACAATGGGGATGCTACAGTGGTCGTAAGTGTGAAAAACAGTCATGAGTAATTTTTTTCAGTGCCATTATAATTTTGAATGGTCACTAAATGAACTGTTGTAAGTCGACTACCTGTACTGAGAAGAAGCTAAGTGGTGTGACAGCTTTACAAACTGAGCCTATATTTTACCATGTCCAGCCCTGCCTGATCTATTCAGGTATCATCATGATCATCATTTTAGCCATTGCCAATCCATTTCAGGATGAAGGCATCTTTGCATCTTCTGCATGTTTCCAGTCCATATGGTCCTGAACTTTCTTTTGCCAATTGGGCCTGCAAAACTTGCTGATGTTGTCAATCCGTCTTGTTTTAGGTCTCTGGATGCTTTTTATCAAGTGGGATCCATTCTATGGCTGTCTTGATCCACCTGCCATCAGTTCTTGTTGCTATGTGATCAGCCCATTTCTATTTCAATTCTTTTAGACTTTTGATGATATCATATACTTTAATTTCTTCTCTAATCCATGTGCAGGTCTTTCTATCTTATCTTGTAATGCCGAGCATGTATCTTTCCATGACTCTTTGCACCACTCATAGCTTTTCTATCAATCGTGAGGTTAGTGTCCATGTTTCACCAGCATATGTTAGAGAAGGTAGCACACACCAATCGAAAACTTTTCTCTTCAGGTATATTAATTAGCATTTATGTTGCCTTTTCCAAAGTTTAGAACAATTGTTTCATGGACATTGTTTGGCTGTAATTATCACCTCAAGAGTAAGGTAAAGTGAGGATACCTCTATGTTGCTGAAATAAGGCAGATGTGCAAAGGGGTAGAACCCCAGAGGTTTCCAAATTGTGTGCTATACTCCAATGTGATTGAAAGTGAACATTGTCAAATATAGGGAATGTATCAGTGGTGGGTTGCTATCAGTTCGCCTCGGATTGGGCAAACCAGTCCTGTCAGCAGCAGGAGGCTCCGCCCACCTGCTGGACACTTCTGTGCATGCACAGAACCATTGTGTGTGTGCGTAAGTGCGCCCACGCCCACAAGTAAACCAGTAGCAACGGGTTTTGAAACCCGCCCTTGGAATGTATGTTATCATAAATTCTGTAATTTATTTGTTACTTTTCATTAAAATTAAGATCAGTTTGGTTTTATCTTAATTTTGCCCAGTTCTTAGAGTATAGTCCCCAGTGTCCATTTCAGTGGTCAAACATCTACTTGGCGAGAAAAAAGTTGCATACTCCTAACTAAGGAAGTTCTTGGCAAAAGCGGTGTTGTAGTGTAAGATTTCTGGCATAGCCTATTTCATACTCATCTTAATTTTTAGTTCAGGAAGAGCAGTGCAGTTTAATAGTTTGAGGTTATGGAAAGAGGAGAACCATATTAGTCCATGGCAGTCAAAACTCAGAAATCTGGTAGCACCTTTTTAGGTTGAGACATTTTATTTTAAAAAGGGATAACACTTCTGAAGTATGGAGTTAGTGAGTCTCTGGACCTCTTGGGCATATTTGTTGCATAATATTTTTTGTAAAGGGCGCACAATAAGTGTATGTACTATTATGGGAAGACACCTCGTTTATCGCTTTTTACAGTCAGTACAATAGTTCCAAAATCCTTAGAAATATTTTGGAGTTAAATATGCTAATTCAGCTTCAGAAACTGTATATGTGTGTGTGCATATACAGTATGTAAATATATATGTATATGCAGTTTTAAATTATATCTAATGCCAAGGACTGTATTTTTTATGTAGGCATTTGGCTAAATTTGGTCACATCTAACTCCTGAAAATGTGGCTGCAGTGGGGATGCAATCTTCCATGTTTTAACCCAGGAAAATGATGCAGAAGGTGTCCCTGGATAGAGAAGAAGTAAATAAATAGTGCTTATTTGGAGGCCTCCCCACCCCCAAATAAGGAGGCTTTGTATTGATTGAGTGGTGAAACTGCCAATCAAAGCAAGGCAATGCAGGCTGCTTCCTCCAGCTCCATATCTTTTGGGGGGGGGAAACTGAAGGAAGGGTGTTCTGCCCCAGCTCTGGATTCTCGAGGATATTGACACACACCAACGGCAAAGGTTGGCAACCAGCCCAGAAAACAAGATACGATAAGACTTTTCCAAAAATGCTCTGATGAAAATTACAAGTTGTTTCTAGCAAGAAACTTACTAACGGCATGTGACTTAAATAGGCTAAGGGAGTGGCCAATTATCCTCAAGCCTTACTCTTGAAGAAACCTCCTCCTCCTGAGTAGCCACTCCTGCCTTTTGGCAGCCCTGCGTGCTTGAGCATTGAGGAGAGGGTCCTCCACTTCACTCTCTCCACTTGAAGGAGCCTCTGGAGGTTCTGAAGGCCCTGGCTGAGTCCCTGCCTCTGGCACCACATCCTCTTCAGCCTCCTCGCTGTCTGATGCGAGTGCCGGCTGCGCAGGCTGCTGGCACAACACCACACCAGCCTCCTCGTCGTCAGGATCAGCCACGATCCGCACAGGCCGCTGGCGAGCCACAACAAAGGGGTTTTGAAAGATGGGGACAAAAGAATGGTCCTGCAAGTTCCAGTCTTGAAAAAATGTTCATTTGTCAAGAGTCACAATTAGGAGGAGGAGAAAGAGAAGGCGGCTTATAAGCCACCTGTCTTGCAAAAATTCTGTTTGGCAGCATATAGATTTATGTAATAGTGTAAGTCTGCTTATAATTTTAAATAGCCATTTATTTAATAAAAGTCAGATCAATTCCTTCTTTAAATTTTAATAAATTGATTGCACTGCTCTATCTTCTCCACATTTTGCCTCACTTCCTCAGAAATGAAACAAAAGAAACAGATGAGGAAAAACCAAAGTATTTCTAAATCAAGAAAGTATTTAATGGTGGCAGTGACAAATGGGCCCTTTAGAGTAGGGCAGGCATTTATAAACTTAACCATGCATCCCTTTGAGAATCTGGTGAAATCTATGAACCACTTCTCAGAAAAATGTATTTAAAGCAGTTACCTTTATTTAGAGGTCAAGAAAAATAAAATTGGATTTCTTTTTTATTCAAAAAGTGCCAGAAATCAAAAAGTTAAAGATCCCTGTTTTTGAACTCCCCCAGAGGTAGGAAGATTTCATCTTATAAGAATACAAGAAAGGATACAGTGAGAAGGGTAGACTACCTCTGTAGACCAAGGGTGATTGCATAGCACTCTCAGTCTGAATCTCTTCTTTTCTCTTCCAGATGCAGATGAGGTTTGACGGTCGGCTGGGATTTCCAGGCGGATTTGTGGATCCCCGGGATATTTCCTTGGAAGAAGGATTAAATCGAGAACTGTGTGAAGAGTTGGGCCCTGGGGCTGCCTCCCTCCACCTGGCTGAGAAGGACTACTTGAGCTCCCATGCTTCTGAGCAGCCACAGAGAGTGGTGATGCATTTCTATGCCAAGCAGCTTAGCTTGGAAGAGTTCCGAATGGTAGAGGAAGGGGCTATTCAGGCAAAAGACCATGGACTTGAGGTGCGTAAGGGGCAAGGCAAGGGAAGCGGGAAATTAAGAGAGTTGTTGGGAGCCAGTATAAAAACAATTGCTCTCAGACAATTGCTCTCTGGGCAAAGTTGACAATTTGTCCTATTTTTCTTGACTTTAATAATAATCCACACCCATTTTTAAAGTTTTTTTTTGCACAATATTCTGGTGATACTAATTGGGTGTGTGTATAAGTACAGTAGGAAGCTGAATGATATTCTGTAAGCCCACTCTGAACATTGTGACCTTTGCTAAGATTTTATCAAGTCTTGTTCAAGTGCCTGTGAACATATTTTGGTAGGTGTATCAGCTAAAACACTTAGAACAAAAACAAATGAAGTGTAAATTGAACATCAGTATTAGACAGCTTTGTAGCTTTGTGGTAAACCCACATGTTGTGAAGTTGGGTGTCTTGAGTGAGGTGGTGGTGGTGACAGCAGAAAGAGGACAAGTTTCCCTAAGTGTCTATTTTAATCTGATTTTTCTACCCTCTACATGGTTTAGGTGATGGGCCTCATCCGCGTTCCCCTCTATATTCTGCGTGATGGTGTTGGGGGCCTCCCAATGTTCCTCAGCAATACTTTTATTGGCAATGCCCGGGAGCAGCTCATTCATGCCTTGGACACTCTCCAACTCATGCCAGCTGAACAACTTCAAAAGGCTGTTAGGATCGCTCAAAAGAGACATTGAGCCTCATTGACTTTGGCTGCTGCCTGTTCACCCTGATAGCCTTTGGGATGTAATCCTGAAAGAATTTCAGACTTTAGGAACAGGCGCAAGATGAAGAAACTTAAATATGGTCCTCACTCCAGTCTTCTACCCGGGCATTGTTGCTAGTGTTGCTGAATAGCTTGGTGCAAGGGTTTGGAGTCTGAATGTGGATTCCAATGATCAGGTTGTTGCGTATTTAAAACACATTGATTGTGTCTCTCTTGCCTAGAGGTAGGTAACACGGATTGAAAGATTGAAGCCATTTTGATTGTTCTTATCTTCACGGAACATGTTTGTGATCCACCTTCCTACATCCTGCTTGTAGGCATAAGAGTTCTTCCAATCAAAAAACACCCTTGCAAAAATATCTCTGACCTACCTCATCTTCTGTTTTCCAACATTTACTCTAAATATATTTTGTTATTGAGAGCATTCTGAACTTCATGGAAGTTGCATTTACCTTCTCTGTAAAAGCCAACTGCAAATACCTGTTGATTACTTCATTATTTCATTGTCAGATTTCCTTTATTTTTTATCAGTGGTTAAAGAATGGTTGTGACTTGTGTGTGACTCTTGACTCATACATTTTTTATTAGCTCATAAGGAAATGGCAAGTCACCACTGGAAACAGTTTTCTGTCTCCTTCCCCTTCTCTTTTCCAATTCTTGGGATATATTGACATAGATGTGGAAAAGTAGAAGTATGCCGTCATCCAAATTATTGTACTGTTTATATTGTTATACAGGTAGTTCTTGAATTACGACCACGGTTGAACCCAAAATTTCCATTGCTAAGCAAAAAAGAGAATTTTGCCCCATTTTGCAACTTTTCTTGCTATGGTTAAGCGAATCATTTCAGTTGTTAAGTTAGTAACATGGTTGTTAAATAAATCTGTCTTTGCCTGTCAAAAGGTCGCAAAAGGTGATCACATGACCTTGGGACACTGCAACTGTCATTTTACATGCCAGCTAAATGTCCTAATTTTGATCATGTGACTACAGGGATGCTGCAATTATCATACGTGGAAAAACTTTCGTAAGTCACTTTTTTCAGTGCCATTGTGACTGAATGGTTACTAAATGAAAATTGAGGACTATCTGTATTCAGATTAGGAATGCAATTTATTGTTTGGAAACAGTGATACTGTTCAGATTTCAAGGCATAGGCATGAACAAGTGGGGGAGGGCAATTTGGTCACTCTGCTGAGTTCAGCGTTCCATTAAGCACCAGAGTGGCAAAGGAACCTGTGAAGTGGAAATGATGTTTATATCCTGCATGTACCATCTAATCAGTGGAACATGGACAGCTGTATCTTGGCTTTTGAAGTAGTTTTTAGATTAGAAATCCTACTTCATGCAGAACAGTATGAGATGCTTGGGAGTAAAACTGGGCTTGAGTGGTGGTTATGGTATTGTATTAGGAGCAAAGATAACCAATTTCTGGTCCACCTTCAGCCACTGGTGGTTTAGAGCCAGCCACTTTCTCCCAGCTTGACCTACTTCACAAGGTGGTTGGAAAAACAGAGTAGAGAATGCTGTTAATGTCACCAAAATCCAGACTGAAAAATGGGATAGAAGTAAAATAAATACAACTCAAAATGGCTAAATCTTAAAAAAACAAAAGGCATTGTATGAAGCAGAGTATGAAGATGGTTGAAGCAATGATAATTTGCAGAAATATGGTGAGGAATAGTGAATGGTGTTAGCAAACGTCAGATATGTGTCTCCTCTTAACTCATGCTTTTAATTTCTTTTGCTTACCATTTCTTAGTTCTTTTCTTTGCTTTACATATTATTACTGAACCTCAACAGGGAACAGTGTGATGCAGTTATTTATGTATGTATTTAGAGAAATCTTCAGACCAAGATGGGAGTATATGAGAAAAGATATTCTGCTGTTCAGAGGCCAGCACCTTTATCTGCTATGATGAGTGGAAAGAGTAAATGAAACAGAATTAATGATACTGCATGTTAGTCTAGTATTGCATAGACGCTGTGACTTCTTTACAATTTATACAAAATTTTTCTTTTTAAAGGCTGGACAGCTTCAAAATGTTGCGTTCTCTTTGCAGCCTAAAGACTCATGTACATGTACGGGTGACTGTATAAGTCTAATGAATGAATAAATCTTCAGTTACCCCAGCCTTGAAGACACATGATCTTGATGATGAATCTGAGTTTCTCTGTTGCAGCACGCAGGCTACACCTCCAGTTGCAATGAATTGGCTCTTTTCTACAATGGCTTCTGTCCTGTGCAATCATGTCACAGTACATCATGCCACTAATCCATCTAATCTTGCATTCTGTGTTACATGGTGGCTGGCTGGATGCACTTGAGAGGTTCACAAGTTTGGACTGGAGAATGAAAGTCCCTTCCATTGTTGATTCCAACAATCACTGTTGATGGATAGTGGCTGTGATTTAGGATCTGGTAAACAACCTGCAATATTAGTAGTTATTGGTTCTCCATGAACCTGTCCCCCTTTAGAACCATCCAAACTGATTGCCATTACCATAACTGCCAGCAGTGAATTCACTAGTTTCATTGTGCGATAGACCTTCAGCCAGTCTTCAACCTGTCTGCGATCTGTGGATGACCTGACATTGTCAGAGAAGGGCGGGGGGGGGGGGGGGAACTACTTCTTCCCCATATTATTTATTTATTTATTTATTTATTTATTTATTTATTTATTTATTTATTTATTATTCGAATTTCTATACCGCCCTTCTCCTTTCGGACTCAGGGCGGTGAACAGCCAAAATAAAAACATTTATACATAAATACAATTAAAAATAGATTTAAAATAATTAAATTTGGCCCATAGTTTAAAATTTATCAATTTAAAATCCATATCAAAATTTAAAACCAACCATAAAATCATAAAATCAAGAGAGACCGGCTAACTGAAAGAGATGAGTTTTTAGGGCCCGACGAAAGGTCCGGAGGTCGGAGATCACTCGTATCTCTGGGGGTAGATTGTTCCAAAGGGTAGGTGCCACCACAGAGAAGGCTCTCCTCCTGGGGGTCGCCAGCCGGCATTGTCTAGCCGACGGCACCCTGAGGAGGCCCTCTCTGTGGGAGCGAACTGGCCGGTGGGAGGCTATTGGTGGCAGAAGGCGGTCCTGTAAGTACCCTGGCCCTAAGCCATGGAGCGCTTTAAAGGTGATCACCAACACCTTGAAGCGCACCCAGAAGTCCACCGGAAGCCAATGCAGCTCGCGCAGGAGAGGAGTCACATGGGAGCGCCCAGTCGCTCCCATAATTCCCCGCGCGGCCGCATTCTGCACCAGTTGGAGCCTCCGGGTGTACCCCAAGGGGAGCCCCATGTAGAGAGCGTTACAATAGTCCAGACGAGAAGTGACGAGTGCTTGAGTGACTGCGTAGGGAGTCCCGATCCAGAAAGGGGCGCAACTGGCATATCAGGCGAACCTGATAAAAAGCCCCCCTGGCCACGGCCGTCATATGCCCTTCTAAGGACAGCCGTGCATCCAGGAGGACGCCCAAGTTGCGGGCCCTTTCCGTGGGGGCCAATGATTCACCCCCAATAACCAGCGATGGCGTCAGCTGGCTATATTACTTGTATCATACATGATTTTCTGTCATGTCTGCTTAACCTCCTTCATTCCAAGCTAAAAACCTAAGTTTTCCTTGAAGAGGAACTGCTCTAGCCTTCTAATCATAACCTCTGTAATGTCATCTTTAAAATGGGATAATCAAAAGTATCCACATTATTCCCAAATACAGTTTTACCATAGAGCCACATGATAGAATTGCTATATTGGTAGTTCTAATTAATGCTGATTATTGCAGGCATAGAATTAGCCAATTTAGCAACTACAGATTAGAACGGCATTTTACTGAGTAGCCCACTATGATGCCAACATCCCTTCTTTTTCATCTCCAGCTTAGATCTCATCAGGAAATAAGTGAGGCTTGGAATTTTGGAATCTAAAGGCCTCACTTTAAACTTATTTAATCATTCCTTTTTTAAAAAATGAGTCCTTTTTAAAAATATTTTTTCTTATATTGTGCTTCTGAGCAACTTCTTCCCAAAGGTTGGTATTTGTAATGGATACCTTATTTCATCCTGTTTCATAATATTTGTTAAAATATGAGATTGAAATAAATGAGAAGAAATATGTAAGTATTTTATAATAAACATATCATTCCTAGACGTTTTGTGGACTAGCAAAACACAATATAATAATCAAAGCTAAGCCTTGTGATATCATCCTTTGAATGTTAATTTACATCTGTCTTCCATTTCAAATAGCCACTAGGCAAAATTTTACCAGATGCCTAAGTGGATAATTTATGCTGAATATAGAATTGCTGCCTGCATGCTTTGATTTTGGACCCACAACATTTCCAGCAACAAAACTCTGCTATTGTTGAAAATGAACAACTCAACAGTCCTGATTGGAGTATTACTGAAAGGGATCAGTTACTAAAACTCATTTTTCAATTCAATGGGTTCTTTTTGCCCTGGTTACACTAGTTTTTATTCTGCTTTCCTGCTGGAGGGGGTAGGTGGGCAGGTGGAATCAACAGCTAATGATGGTTTTAAGTGCATGTCCCTGGTGTTTTATTCAGTGACTGCATTTCACTTTCAAAATGTTTAATGCAACTTGTGTTGCAAGAACTAGTATGTGCAAATGCTGCTGGATTTCAGTAGGTAGTTTTGTGTTCTAGAAACATTTTTTTCAGAAATAAAAAACTAGTGCTTGAAGATTTCCATTTGTTTGTTTTGGTATTAATCAAATTTACATAAAAACAATAAAAATATAAAACAACAAAATTAAAAAAGGAATATTAGGCAAAATGATGTTAATAGTAATGTAGCTACCAATATTTATAATCTAAATTTCCTCTAGATGCTTATAGCAGTGACTAAATCCCCCCCCCACTTTTAACCCACTGCAATCTTGTGAGCTAAGTTAACTGTGAAATGATAGCTTTTCGATTAAGTATGGATTTGATCCTGCATCTCCCCTGTCCAGATTAACGCATGTATCCCAAAATACGCATTCATTAATCGCAATTGCAATATGAAAAGTGATGCAAAAACTAAGGAAAGTTGTTTCCAACTTCCTTTCTCTGTAGTTCTCCCACATTTCCAATCCATAGGTGATTGTCCAGGGCCTTGATTGGCCCTAGACAAAATAAACCTGGTTATTTAGTGATAAACATTTTAAGTATTTGGCACTGCTGGATTAAATATGGTGGCAAGAAGCCTGTAAAAGGGGCCTGGTGGCTCAGCAGACTGATAGCATTGTGATTAACAGCAGCTGTCTGCAATTACTGTAAGTTCGAATCCCACCAGGCTCAAGGTTGACTCAGCCTTCCATCCTTTCTAAGGTAGGTAAATTGAGGACCCAGTTTGTGGGGGCAATAAGCTGACTTTGTATAAATATACAAAAGTATGAAGGCTATTGCTTAACGCATTGTAAGCCGCCCTGAGTCTCCGGAGAAGGGCGGCATATAAATCAAATTTAAAAAAAAAATGAGTCAAGGAAGGCACTCATGACCCTTCTGATGAGCAGTTACAACTCATTGCATTCCACATGCCAGCTAGACTGCTGGGTATTCAGCAATGTTGAACAGTGTTTCATTCCCATGCAGGCTGGAGAATTCTGGGAATTGAAGTCTCCACATCTTAAAGTTGCCAAGGTTGAGAAATCTTGCCATGGGTTCCTCTGGTATACTGCAGTAGCTCTGCTTTCATCCTTTGTGGTCAGGGGTCAAAGAAAGTTTCAACCTACCCTACATTTTTTTTGAAGAAAGTCCGTATTCATGTCATGATTATAAGAACAGTTCCCCAGATATGGTGGAATCATTGGCTGAAGGAGAGAGGGCCCTCTAGGGGGAGTAAAGAGGTATCCCAGTTTGGAGTCGGTTCAGAGGAGGAAAGGTCTGAGGTCAAATCTGCTGTTTTCCAAGAGAAGGCCCTCTGGTGAGATTGTTGTAACACACGTGATCACCAATAAAATATCTACTTGGGGCTTGGGCCTATTCAGGAGTGGTTCTGTTTGCTTGCCCCTTACACTGATGTTTCTTAAGCAACCTCCCTTAATGGGCACAATTGTGCCTGATGCCAGGGAAGAGAGACAGGAAATATTTTCTACCAAAAAAGTGAAACTCGTTGCAAAGCTTGACTTGTGTTCTCTCTTTTCAACTTCCTCATTTTTCTCAAGCGTTGGCTGTGGTCGGTTTGCAATGCCTCTTAGTTCCTGAACTCAAGGCCTGATGTCGCAGTTCAGCTGCAGCACGTTTCTCTCCTCTCCTTCCTGCTCCTCTGGCCCGTTGAGGAGTGTGAAAATAGGGCGCTCTGAATGGTCCTTCTGTCCATCTTTATATATCAAGGACTCCCTCCCCTTCGTCCCCCACCCCCATGTTATTTAGGCATGTGGTTTTGCAAGCAGAGGCCACATAATCCCAGCTTTGAAAGTGCCTGTTCAGCTTCCTCCAAGTGGGCGGGGGTGTTTGCAGTGGACCAGCACAGGGTGTAGAATTTAAAGCAAAGCAGCTTTCTGTGCTGGGAAATCCCGTTTTTGCACCGGAGGCACCAGCTTCAATCTTATTCTTGCTAGCTGTAGATGATCCTAGCAGAAGAGATCAAGAGGGAGTCACAGAAGACAAGACAGGAAATGTGGAACATTTTACTGGCACAGCTCATTTTAATTTTCCTTTACATGCTTGATTTGAATCTGATTCAGACAAAGCTGTGTACTTCTTGTTCTTTTAAATTTTTTTAAAAAATACTTTTGATTGAAAAAAGGACCCTGCTTTTAAATAGACACATGTTTTAACTATAATTTGCCTTACACATTTGACCTTTCAAATATTATTTAGTGACTGAGCTAAGTACACTTGAATCTTGTGTGAGTTAAAATAGTGCAAGAAGGCTCCAAGCACCAAACTCCATATATAATTAGCAATGGCCTGTGAATGCAAGCCTCCTGAGTGTTGACACCATATCACTTATACTTTGTTTTATGCCCTGGTTTTTTTTTTTTTGTTTTTTTTTGTGCATAGAGCCTTTAATGTAAAGATGACTTGTACCAAGACTGCATAAATAAATGTTCTTTCTGTCTGGTCTGGTCTTGCAGAATAGCTTTTGAAAGGCAGAATAGCTTTTGAAAGAGAGAACCTGCC